CGTCACTAACTAAGTAAAGTTAAATTAATTTAAGTTTACTTTTTACTTTTTACTTTTTCGTTTAGTACTAGATAGAGAGAGTAGTCTACTACTATATACTCCTCTCTCTCTCTCTCTCTCTCTCTCTCTCTCTCTCACACACACACACATGTATTACACCATACAATCTTGTATACTTTTTTCTTTTACTGTTATTGTATGCAATAATGGCAGCGATGTAAGGAACCTTTGGGTCCTCTAGATGCAAGGAAACTTCTAGTCTTATCATACAACAGGAGGCATACCATGTACCCCGTCTGATTTCACGTGCCAATCTCTGTAGAACAGACACATATTGCTTAAATATTTAGCATGTTTCCCGTTTGATGCTCTCAATTCAGAGAGGTCCGAGTCTGATTACACAGAGAGAAGGAGATTATCAGATTATACTGGACCAAAAGCATTAAGTGTTCTGTGCAATTTTCATAAAGAACATAATCAACTAAATCATATTTATTGCCAAAAAAAATAAAAAAATACAAGGCTACAAACCTGTGAGTATAACTTGGGTGGTGATGTTTATGCCCACAATCACAATATCTGCTCCGCATGTAAATACAATATCAGCCGCCTCTGGATCACCATAAATCTGCATCATGAAAAAGGAATGGTTCAAAAATTACAGATTTTTCTTAAGAAAAGGAAAAGTATACCATAAATCAATTACGCATGGCATACGGTACAACAGGGTGCACACCATTCATTTCAGATAACAATAATGGAGATCAAACATAATTCCCAATGGGACATTTTCCCTGATATAGCTAATCTCCGAAGTAACAGGTAAATAAGTACCTTGCTCATTAATAACTCACATGCACTACTAGCGAAATTTAGTTTTAAGAAAATAAAGCTATTTATATACACATAGGAATGAATACTGTGCTACAAGTAGCATACAAAACAGTACAGCCCATGTGGCCTCAAGTGTCTGCCATTAACAACAGACGGTTGAGATGGAACACTTCTCCCTTAGCACAGATTTACAGAGTTCAGCAAGAGAACATTTCAACCATTCTCGTTATTACATGTAGCATATTGTGTGTGTGTGTAAAGCATGGTTGAAAATAATAGTTTCACAAGCAGAGAGGCACATACATTGGCTTCAGCAGCAGGATTCACATTCCCGGTGGCAAAGAAAGCCCCACCAAGTACAACCACCTTCTTTACTTTTTTGGCAACCGATGAGTCTCTCTTAATAGCCTATCAAGTAAGTTTTAAAGATTAGCCTGGTTAATCATCTACTGAGGAATCTGATGTAAAAATCCAATTGAGGAAAATCTAGAGAGCTCCAAGATCAAGATCTATCAGAAAACTAGTTTGCTTTGTTAAAGAAAGTATTGCAAAGCTCTAGGACTTCCAACTCACCAATGCCAAATTAGTCAATGGTCCCAATGCAAGAATAGATACTTCACCAGGATGTTCAGTGATCTTATCAACTAAAAATTCAGATGCGCTTTTGCCAATCTTCTTTCCCTTTGGGGAAGGAGGGAAGGTATTCCCCAATCCATCAGAACCATGAAAAAAATCATCAATACGAGGCTCTCCTCCCTGACCAAAAAGCAGCTAAGTTAGAGAAATTCATGATTACAGGTACAAGAGCAAGAAATACCTGATGATTACACAGTAGCAAGAAATACAAATGCAAAATGGAAAAAATAACCAGCAATAAAAGAATAATAACATGGATCACCGATATGGCATTGGCATCCTAGAGTGAAGTTCATTGTCCCTTGTGCTTAAAGAGGTACGAAATGACATTTCAAACTGCAGCTTAAATTTCTCATAGACAAAAAATATACGTAGTTCAAAGGTATTTTCAAGGATCACTTTTCAGTAAAAGATACTAAGACACTTCTTCTATTAAAGGAAACAAAAAATGGATCTCTAAACTGTTCTAATGTGTGTTCACACACAAATAGATGAAGATAGGTAAGTCATATGAATGCAGAGTCATATACTCTTTGTAATGAGTATCAAGGCAGTGTATGCAGTGCTCATACACCATATGTCCACTACAAAAAGAAAAGTTAGTTTGATTGTTTGAAGATCAAAATTTTAATAGGAAGCATATAGTTGTTGTGTACTTGTGTTTATTTTAAGCAAACACATTTTTTATTATGTTTTTAACTATATTATTATTAATAACAGCGGTTAGGAGAGGTGATTTGGTACAAGTCGAAGGTCCAAAAGGACATGGATGGAAGTAGTTACAAAAGGTCTGACTGAGGGGCGATTTGGTTCACGCCGGCAGAACAGGATTCATGTAAGCTACCCCTAATAGTTGCGATAAAGTTCGGATGATGATGATGATTGTTAATAGCATAAGAAAGGCTGGATACGATGTTTGAAATGAAAAATTCTGGCTTGGAAAAGCAAATTTCAGGAATTAAGATACATAGCGGATACACTCATAGCATTTTGTGATCGTAGCTACAGTCATGAGAAGATGGGCAATACCAAGTTCAAGACGCATGTGTGTCTGTGTTTCTACGTCTCTATTCAAATACATCCCCTTCCAAAATTCCATCTTAGATATGGATCTAGGATCTGAAACATATCCTAACCCACTCTACATGCATTTATGCTTTAGCCTTCATGATTTTGACTCACAAATAGTGCAGATCTGATGATCTGAGAAGAATTAAAATAAACGATCCAAAAAGATATTTAAAGTGGTTTATTTTTAGATTCAAAATTCATTTCCTTTTGAGATCCATGACCGTGGTGGTCAAGATCAGTGACGTAAGGACTGAAGCATATCAGCAGTCCCAATCAGTCAAATCACTCACCAATGCCATACCTGGCTTATCCAAAGAAAAACTGGATTTGGTAGAAAACCGGTAAACGCAAATGTTTTGAAAAGTTTTTTCGCTAGTACAACCAGTAGGTTAGGCAACTTTTTATTTATTATGTAATTCACATTTTTTAATATACTATCCTATGTTTTCTTTACCTTTAAAAAATCCTATCCAACAAGTTCGATAGGCATTTGGACGAATTTTGATTAGACAAAACCCCTAGCAAGTTTAATGGCCAATCTATATTGGGGGCTTGATACCTATATTGCGAAGCATCATCCCCTCATTTATAGGGATATTCATGAGCAAGCTTGTGATTATGTAGGTTTTTAATTATGCAAGTGACAAGGATATAAGTAAAGTGCATGTGGATGGGTCATTAGTTGGATGCAGTGTTACTTCGATACTCAGTTTATGGGTTGATGTCGCGTGTGGACACTTAGACACATACCGCTACTTAGAGACACAGGCCCGACAAGTGACTGTACATGTTGGAGGATATCACCATTTTCAAGTACGGTGTTAATTCTTTAAATTAAATTGCCAGCAATTTTTGACATATAAAATTAGATCTCCACATGATAGCACTTACTTTTTTCTTTTGACAAGGACATGGTTCCATTCTCATGACTTGCAACTCTCTCTCTCTCTCTCTCTCTCTCTCTCTCTCACACATTTATTAGCAATAAAAAGGCATACTATGTGCACAGTGGGAATAGAACCCCTCTCCAGCTGTGCGACCACACACCACTATCAGCTGTCGAATGTTATGAAAGGGACAATTAAATTAAATAATATAGTTAATATAAAATCTTATTAGTTGTCAACAAATATGCTCATGATGGGATTCAAACTATCACCGCCTTTCATTGAAAACACAAAACTACCACTCCAATCGTTTAAGTAATATTATAAAATGAATACTATATCATATAATATAATATTTAAATTATAAGAAATAATTGTACAGACGTGTCTTGCTGTACTGGCTTTTTAGACCAAAGTACTAGATAATACACTTGTAGACACTTACACTCATGTCAATGTCCATGTAACACAGGTTGGATGTCAAGGGTACAACTACAATGAGTTGTAGCATGGTACATTATACTTCTCTTAAGTATGCCAAAAGCAGATTAGTCACATACAAACATGTTTACTGAAGAAGCATTGCCAATTACCTTATTTCTTTGGCTTGAGAAGTACAAGAACCTTTGGTAGGAAAAATCAATATGTTGTTATCCAGATCAAGATAAGCAATGAGGCTTTTTGAGTTTTTCCTTATTTTGCTATGCGTGTAGAACATTTACAGATGAATTTCTCCTAATAGTTTAAAATCCTTTTCCATGTTACAAAAGTCATTTGATCAAAGGATAAAGGCCTTTGGTACAGAATATTTCCTCTGGGCTGGGCATAAGATGCATATCCAACTTATCTTTAGGAGGTTATAATGGACAGCAGAGGGCTTGAAAGTGAACAAGGCTTGGAGATGAGTTTGTTAAAAGAAGCTCGAGACTCTTTTTATTTATTGCTTGAATGTACTTGCAAGGATCCAATATCACACCATTTATTACATTTTGAAATATAGGTTTCCAACAAACACATATCGTTAACACTCTGAGATCCAAAACCCTGGATCATTTGGTACTAGAGCCCGAAAGCCACATCATATTGAATTGTTCCTCTACATCATGTGAGAGATCCGATTCCTCTCATCTTCTAACGAAGTAATCAGAAAGGATACCCACACTCATAAAAAAAAAGGTGCATCATATCTACTTGAATTGGTACGTCTTAAGTTCTGTAGAGTTAAGGGATCAGTAACCGAAATGAATCAACATGTAATATTACTGAAATAATGTAAATCACTCTTTAATTTTTTCAGTATTGCATCCCTTAAGGGAATCCAATCCTCTGGAAAAAAGTCGGCTACTCTATTTACATAGTTCATGAAGAGTCTCATAACCAACATAAGGTTGAAAAACCTAAGTTGTGAACCATAAGGAATCAAGAAAATGTTACAAGCCAAGAAGATCAAACCTTCTATGTTTAGAACACAAAGATTGGATGAGCTATGATGAATCAAACTAGTAACTACAAAAAGGAAACCAGTTGAATACAAGCAAGCAATACAAAATAATATCCAGGTACCTTCAGAGGCTCTGGACTTCCCTCAGAGACCGGCAAGTCTGGATACCCTGCAATCTCACACTATCCTTTTAAAAATTAAAAACATTAATTAATGATGAACATGTGCCAATTAAACGCAGTTGGAGACACAAATTGTCCACCCCAGATAGAAATCATAAGAAAGCCATAGCCAATCGACATATTCCAAGACCAGAACACATAAAAATTATCAAATTTTCAAGGGAGAAAAAATGCATACCAGATGCAATGCATTACGAGTGGCATCTTTCGTAGCAACATTACCAAAAACAGTGGTCAGGCCCAAAACCTCCAAACCAGGTGATTGAAAAGCCATAAGTATAGTTATGCTATCATCTGAAATCAAAAGTAAGAGATCAGTCAAAACAAGGACCAAAGATGTTGAAAATTCTGAAATAGGAGAGCATGATATGTTCTTAAGAAAAACACACAAAAATGTTGAAGCTCATTTGCAAAATCGACCGCAAAAACCACTGAAGAAACAAGAATGCAGTCAAGAATAATCCGATAAAAAAAACAAGAAACATAACTTAAATATGGGGACCAAATGCACAAAATTAGCTAAGTTAATGTCCTGATGAATTTTCCATTGAAAAAAAAAGGCTGAAGTTCCCAAAATCCTAAACAAAAATCCAGAAATTGGCTGCCTAAAACCACTGAATATATGAGAAAAGCTCACTCTTTTTGAGATTTATATCCCGAAGGAGACCAAAAGCGCGGAATATATGAGAAAGGTCACTCTTTCCGAAATTTACCCGCCGAAAAAGTTTGAGATCTCTATTGCAGCGTTTAGCAAAGAAAAAATGAATAGCTCAACAACAATAAAGAAAAAACAATACCTTAATTTCTAATAAAATCGATGTCCATGCAATCACTATTCCCATCAAAATTACAGTCATAAACGAAAATCAAATATGAGATAAAATGATTACCAATGCCTGGATCTGTATCAATGATGATCTTTTGGGGCCTCAGCCCATCTACGACACCATGATTTGGTTTGGTCATGTCTTAGGACTGGTCTAGAATAAAAACATTAGGGTTTTAACATACAAATCCAGAGTGGAATTTATGCAACAACAAGAAGAAATAGAGATTTACAAGTTGCAGAGAGCAGCAGCCCCAAATTTCCTCGGTTGGTGGGTTGCTGTCTCTGCATGATGATGAGAAAGAGGAAGATGGAAGAGATTTATAGGGAGAAGAGAGAGAAAGTTATTGAGATTTAGAAAGTGGTTTACACGTCATTATTTGATTTTTATGTGCCGGTAAAAACGGCAAAAAAAACTAGCGGCTCTGTCCGCTGAGGGTATACGTGGCGGTTGATTATTAGTCTTTTTTTTGGATAGAAATGGAACCTGTAGGTCCTACTGGAGATATATCCTTTGGCGTTGAAAACTATGACGAGGAAGAGAGAGACAGAGAATATGCAGCATTTTGCTCTGACCTTTCTTACGTCAGAGCAGCACTTTTAGAGGAGAGATAAAATAAGCATTTAGAGAGAGAGAGAGAGGAGAAGCAGCATTTCTAGAGGTTTTAGATTGCAGCACCCTTTCCGTAAGTTCGATGTGAGGGTTTTTTTTTTTTATTTGATAAATAAAAATAAAAAAAAGGATTTGAATTTAGGATGTAGCATTAAAATAATCAATTGCTCACCGATCAATTGGGATAGCTATATGAATATGCGAAAATAGACAAGCATTTTGAAGAATCAATGGCAACTCAAATTAGCATATTTCCCTATGTAAAAACGTCATGATGAAAATCCAAATAGATGGAGAATCTGTTCGTTCGTTCGATCGAGAGAGAGAAGAGATTGCATTTTTTTCCGAGAGAGAAAGAAGTGATAATATGGAAGTAGTTAAATGCATCCAAGTAAAAATGATGGAGTCCAATGAAACCCAATTTTCCTCCACTTAATTGACATTGTGAACGGACTGGTCCAAAAGGCGGGAAAGGGCAGACATGCCCAGGTCCAAATCCAAATGGTGGGAAAAGGAAAAGAGCAGATGTCGTGGTTGTAGCATGCCTTCGCACGTCTTTCTCTCCAATCCACCGTTGATATTTTTAATTTAAACAACAGGTGACAACTTTGAAATTTTAATCTCATGTACTCTCCACAAAATTCCTCCAAACAAAAAAAAATGGCATGTATTCCACACAAAACTTCTAAAAAACAAAAAAAAAAAAAATCCGTGCCATGTATTCCCCACAAAAATCCTCAAAAAAAAATAGCATGTACTCCACACAAAATTCCTCAAAAAACCCAATTGGTGTCCCTCCCTAAATAAATATATCTAAAAAAACGGGCAGTGGAAGGTATTCCCCACAAAATTCCTAAACAAAAAAACGAAAAAAATGGAATGCACTCCACACACAATTCCTCAAAAAAAAAAAAAAAAAATCCAATTGATGTTCCTTCCTAAATATCCGAAGATTAAAAACGGGTAGTGGCATGTATTCCCCACGAAATTACTCAAAAAAACAAAACAAACAAAATCGAATTGGTGTCCCTCCCTAATATATCTAATCATTTAAAAAAAGAGTAGTGGCATGTATTCCCCACAAAATTACTCCAAAAAAAAAAAACAGAGTGGTGGCATGTATTCCCACAAAATTACTCCAAAAACAAAAACGAGTAGCTGCTTGTATTCCCACAAAATTACTCCAAAAAAAAAAAATCAATACACTGCTTAATCACTCTAAATGCATTTCCACTTTTCATGGCCAAAAAAACTAGAGAAAACATAATGGCTTGCTAAAAATTGATATGAACCGTGAAAGCTCAAACCAAGAAACTCAAAATGAATATTTTGTTTTTAAAATTCAACTTATAGTGTTGAATGCTCAAAAAGGATTTAAGATGGAGTATTTTTACAATCAAAATCCATATTCTTTTCAAATTAACAGCCATGGTGATTGATACTATTGACCTATGCAATTTTATATCCAAAATTCATCTAGAAACCACATATGAATTAGTATGGGAAGCTTTACAAAGTCAAAAAGTTTTCATGCCGTACTATTTCTCTACTCCCTCCGGCTAAAACTCATGTTAAGAATATTTTTTAGATCTCAAATTTTGAGGATGTAATTTCTAGAACACATTGATGTCATAAATAGGTTCTAGGAATTACATCTTCAAAATTTTTAGAACTCCTGCATTTTTTATAACTTGGATCGATAATCCAAAAAAATATAGGTATTGAGGAAGATGTCACACATAAAATTAGAGCTGGAAGAGCAAAGTGGAGATGTGCAAATGGAATTTTATGTGATCGCCGTATATCAATGAAGCTGAAGGGTAAGTTCTATAAAACAGTTATCAGACCAACATTAGTTTATAAGACAGAATGTTGGGTGGACAAAAAACAATATACATATCAAATAAGTGCAGCGGAGATGAGAATGTTGAAATAGATGAGTGGCAAAAAAAAAAACGATAGAATCCAAAATGAATCCATTCGAAAAAAGTTTAAGTGTGATATCAATAGTATGAGATAGAGTAGACTTAGATATGTTGGCCATGTGTGGCATCGACCTAGTACACCACATGTTAGGAGGTGCGAATTAGTTCAAGTAGAAGGATTGAAGAGGGCAAGGGGTAGACCCAAAAAAACGTGATTGAAAGTAGTCCAAAAATATATGGGACTTGTGGCCTCACTAAAGGTATGGCCTTAAATAGAGCTGAACAGCTGACCAGGATTGGTGTTGCCGACCCCAATTAATTGGGACAAGGCTATAATGATGATAATGATGATGATGAATTTCTAAAACCTAACAACCAAAAAAACCCCTATAATTAAAAAAAAAAAAAAAAGGCACTCTCTACGTGCTTATAAAAAAATGACAACAACGATTGTCTCAAGGTTGCACAAGAACCATGCAATTTATGGAGCGAAAGATCTAGATGTGCAAGAATTCAAAATCCAATTTTTTTTCTTACAAAATAATCTAAAATTTTGAATAAAAAGAATTTCTCTACGTAACTATTTTAACCATGGGAGTTGGTGTACAATACGCTCCCAATGGAGCATGGTATACGTGCTCCTTTATAAATCCATCTCGACGAAATTTCTACAAGGCCTTGGCTTTATCCATAAAGCACTTTCAGCACGTAAACCCTCATCCAGAAAGCACTTTCAGCGATGGAAATATGTACAAATCAATTTCCAATACCAACAATAAACTTTGAAACTCAAAAATGGCACATATCTTACAGATATGTGAACACTTTATGTTAGGGCTAAATGAATTGTCGAAATAATTTACTACAACAAACACTATTTTTAAAACTTGAAATCCTTTTTTTTTTTCACACCCATAATTTTCAAGCTGAGATGGTCAGTACAAAGGTTTGCCAATGCTTGAATTGCAATTTTTAATGTATTATGAAGTGTGCGCTTTGTACAGAATCAAGGCTCTAAACAATCAAATTGGAGCACACGTTGAAATAGTATTGAGAAATGTGATTTCAATATTGAAAATCTTTGTGATAGCCTTAAAATATATTTTCATCACTACTCAAAAAAATTCAAAGCTTCAAAAATAGTGTAAATTGAATATATCTATGCAAATCTTGAAAATTGACGGTCCTAAAATGCACTATTTCCAAAACTTGAAATCCATTTTTTTCTCGTCTCCATTAATCTTGAGGCCAAGATAATCAATTTGAGGATATTTAGCCATCAAAACAACATCTTCTAGTGAAATTTTTGCGGTGGGCTCCAATTTGATTGTTTAGAACCTCAGGTCTATATAAACTTTTTCCTTACTTGATAGGGCTGCAACCTTACCAAAATATTTTACCTAAATAAATTCTTGAAAGAGGCCGCATCTAAATATGGAAATTTGGATAGGTCCACCTCCATAAATAGTCATGGACATGTGGGTGTCCTCATCACAGTTAATACTACTACCATTGGAAATCAACTTTCCCACCTAAGCGAAACAATCATCCTAAGTCTAGATCTAAGGCAACTACCCAAAATCAATTCTAGTCACTTAAATACTTAATAAATGGATTAGAGTCTTAATTTCTTCAGCGCACTACTGCACGCATTAAAAATCAATTTTCCTCCATATAAATCAATTTTCCTCCATATAGACAGATAATAGTGCTAATATATAGGAAAGTTAATAAAATAACAATAAGGCACGAGCTGCTTAAAACATTTTACTCGTCTATTTTGATGCCCATCAAAAAACATACATAATATGAAATAGTTGTAAAAGGATTAAATGTAAAACTATTTCTCTTAGAGGAGGTTTGATAAATTTTCATATATATTTGAGTCCCCAACAAACTATGGCTATTATAAAAATTTCGTCTTCTACCTAATCTTCCATGAAAGCAAATATCTTGTTTATGCCCCCAAGAAATATTTTTCTTTATCACCAACAAATTATTAGAAATCATCAAACAATTTTATTACATCATTCTTTTTGGCAAATTACATCGTCACAATAGTCTCTCTCTCTCTAACACACACTTGTCCACAGATAGTTGGGGTCGGTAAATATCTCATATTATATCCCTCTCTCTGTAACATGGACACTTCTTGCCCACTCCGGTGTTGCAGAATATTGGGGTTTTCCAATTCTATAGGTAAAGGTGGTTCATGCATACTCTTCCCTTGTAATTTTGCAGGTTCAGGTCTTCATGATGTTAAGAGTATTTTTTAAGCCCTATATGGTACGAGACAAAAGTCTTAACCTTTGCTTCTTTCTTCCTATTTTTCTTGTTATTGTTAGTGTGGGGTCTTCTCACACCAAACTGAATACAACACAAGCTCGCTTGAGCATTCATATTTGTTAAGAATGTGGTCGCCAATTTTTATTCGTTGAGAGAGAGATCCCATAACATCTCGAAGAAAGAGAGAGAGTGTGTGTGTTTTTTACCCATATCGTCTTGTTTTGAGTTTCCCAATGGAGATCTCATGGCTTTGGGGAGCCAGTCGGAACCACCTTTGTCAACTGGGCTCTCGCATTCGCACTTCCACCACCTTGGCCTGCAGAGCTCTTCGGGTTGTTAGCATCTCCGCCTGCCTGATTAGTTAACATTGCCTTCTTCACCTTAACCGATTGGATTACATAAAAGATTAATCAACTATAGCTTCAAAAAATAATCAATCAATAAACAGGAAATTTGTAACAACCCTTCCAAGAATCAAATATTTCTCCCAATTCATTATCATAAATTTGGCAGTTATAAATCTGAACTGCTATTTCAAATTGCAAGCGCATCGCGCTTCCAAGTTCATGAATGCATGACCCCCCATCTCTCTCTCTCTCTGAAAACATGATAATGAAACCAATAAAACTACAAAAAACATTGCAAAATAATTAAACTTCACTCAGATAGAGAAAACCAATAGTACTTTTGTCACCTCAAGAAAATGCGAGCATAATTTCGTTTAATGATTCAAGGGCGTTCCATTAAGAGAAAAAAAAGAAACATTGTTTAAATTTTTTGCTCAACAATAAAGACAAAACAACAAATAATAACTACCATAACCAAATTGAAGTGCAAAAGATAAATGCAACGATGATGGGTGCAGTTTCTATAAGGTGTCAATCTTAAACAATCAAAGTAAGGCACACCTTCAAACCATGTCGGAAGACACAATTTTAGATCTCAAAATCCTCACAATGATCTGAAATCTACTTTCACCTCTAATTATCAAATTTTAAATCTCCAAAAGTGGTCCACATCGAGTAGATGTATGAAAACTTGAAAATCGTGAAAATAGAAGGTCCAAATGATATGTTACAATAAGATGTTACACTAATCTTTACCCTTTTCAATATCAAGGCCAACAATCCCCTCATGAATCTTGCATCTTGAACATGTAGACTCTGATTCTAGGGAGGTTATTACAAAGGAGAAAGTATGGAATATAACAAAATGAAGCTCCAAACAACGGGGGATCAGTTGTGGCTGATAAGAGAGAAGAATAGCAAGTAGCGCAAAGAGAAGGAAAACTGGGAAAACCCTCAAAGCACTGCCATGAAAACAGAGGGGTTGCATTTCAGATCTCAGAGGGGGGGGCGAAGAGAGAAGAACAGCATGTCAGCTTATAGCTATACAGCTGGAAATGAGTCATCAAAGATTTTCCCAACCACAAGCTCATGGGATACAGAGTTGGGCACATGGATTTACTCAAGGTCAGTGGAACCCAAACATCATTAAAAGAAATTCTAACGAGCCAAGGGATTCAAAATTTCAAAGTTCAAAAATTTTGAGTTTCAAAAGGCCCCCCCCGGGCAAAATTCGGAATAAGAAAAATGAAAAGAGAACCAGGTTCATATGGGTGCTACACATACCTACTACAGAGTGAATATGTACTGTTGATCAATCATTTGAATAATCAAGTGGAGATTGAGATGAGAATGACATTATTCAGAATGTGAATCATGCTAAGAAGGGAGATCATCAAGATGAATGGTGATGCCCAATTCTCTGACTTAGACCACACTCACGCCCCTTTCAGGAAAGTTAACCAAAGGCTTTTTGGAGCCAAAAAGAGGTCGTCCCCCTTGAACTGCCAAATTTGGCCCTTCCTAAGCTACCCTCAATTTTCCCATGTCAATTCTTACCCCATAAATGAGATGCAAGACCACTGAGTACTAGGCCAGTACAAATTTTGAAGGTCACCAACCTTTGGTGATATACAACTATGAGCATGCTCACCATATCATGTTGGACCCAGAGAGTGAGGAAGATGAAAACCACAACCACCCTCGCGATGTCACTGCATTGACGAGGCTTTACACATGGAAGACTGGAGAATCCTCTGACGCTGCTAGCCTGATGATTGCGCAGCTGGAAGTGGAGAAGCAAACTAAATGAACTGGATTCCCTACTTTGGCTATTAGATATCCTCCCATATCTGCAAATCAAAAAGAAACAGGGGAACAGAAAGATGACAGAAAATCCATTGACTCAGCCAAGGAGAGAAGAATTTCTGAGTCCATTCCAAACATCGGAGGAATATTCAATGCGAGGAATGTTGACTACAATGAGTCAATGGAGATCATCGCAAATGATTTCAGAGCATATACCAGGAAAATAAGTGAAGGCATACCTGAGGATGCATGCAGACCAAAGAAAACAATAGAATGAGGAAAGCCCAAAGGCAGCTAGACATACCTAGCGTGCAAGAATAAATATGACAGAAATTTAAAATTTGTACATGAAAGGAGGGCTAACACTGAGCCCATTGTTGTTGTGTCTCTCAATAACAATGGAGTCACCAGGCACAGGAAGAGGTATACTTCCTCATAAAAAATTTATGTTGAAATGTACAGGGCTCAGGCCGTACAGAAGAAAGAATGATCTCTTATTTTTAATCCAGAGTGAAAAGCTAGACTTTGATGCTACAAGAGACAAAAGCGGAGACCCGGATATTCAATTTGTGAATGCAATTTGTGCTAGACGCTCAGTAGATGGTTTTATGGAATGATGCTTTTAGGAATGCAAGGGGTATTTGGAAGGTTTGGGATCCCACTGTTGTTAACTGGTCTAATTTTTTTGTTAATAGCACGTCCGTTTCTGTGCTCTTTGAAGGTCCCATTTCTGGTTCCAAGTGGATACTTCCGAATATTTCTGTCCCTAATTGGCTTGATAAAAGGATGGTTTTTTTAGAAAGTTTGGTGAATGTCAATATGAATTATAGTTATTTGTGATATCTTGGAGGTGATGTTAATGTAATTAGATGGCCTCATGAGTCGTTGTCGCAGTCTCAACTCCATGCATCTGTAGGATTCCCCAATTCTGTCAATTGAAATCAATAAAACTTGGTTACGTTATCAGATGACTGTTTCCAAACAACAAAATTAGATGGCTTTCGACATCCCCTTCCCTACTCTCTGCTCTGCCCCCAAACTAATCTCGGTGGCCCATGAGTCCTAATCTGAAGTCACAGAAAATTTTTGAGCATCCCTGGTAGGGGCCTTCACTCCTCAACGAGGCGACTCCCGTGGAATCGAGAAATGGGGCAAATCTGTATGGGCAGAGCCTTCCCTACTATGCAAAAAACTTTCAGATGGCTCCACTCTCTTCTCTTTCTCTCTAGCTGCTGGTGCTCAAAAAGCTCTGAACTCAGCAAATCCAAGCATGCGAGGAACCTCCTTATCACTCTCTAGATGGTCAAAAGACTAGGGAGCCTATCGACTTCAGAAGATTTGGCTCACAGCTTCAGCCATCGCTCTTCACTCCTGGAATATCTCGACCTTCAAAGCCATTGGCAATGCATGCAGGACGTTCGTGGCTGTTCATTGGCAATCTCTGGAGCATTTACCACTAGGATCCATTCAATATGCTGGACCCACTTCCTTCCTTACTCTGGCTGGAGGTAGGAGGAAGGTATTACCAAGTTCTTTTGGAATGTTACAATGCCTTGTGTCTGTCTCTAGAATGAAGCATAGCAGAGAGTCGAGACTTCAGAACCAGACGTTCCCACTTCCAGAGAATCAATCCCAGTGGACGGTGGTGGCTCCTAGGAGGAAGCAGGCCCGTCGATCTAGAAGACCTCAATTCCATCACCGTCGACCCTATCGGGAAGGATGGAAATCCACAGTGCCCCTGACACCTCGATCGAGGAGACTTTTCCGTTGGACACGGTTGATCCTCTACAAGAACCTACCTCCCTCCCCCCTGATGATGAACCTTGAGCACCCCAATCACCTACCCAGCTGCCATCAGTCACCAAAAGGCTGCCCCTCCCTGTCCCAGTTGTAGAGTCCCCTGACGTAATCCATCCCTTTCCTCTCTCCGATGTAGAACCTCCTAACGTGCCCCCTGATACTGAGCTGCCCCCTCCTATCTCCGAGTCTGCTCAACTTTCAGAGGGTCCCCCACTTTTGCTGCCAGCCAGCAAATCTTCCATTCCTAACGAAGGACTTGTAGTCAGGTCTTCTATTCTTAGTCCCCATCCTCTGTCTTGAGATACCCCTCTATCCTCCTAGGGGATTTCTCCATCAGTCAAGCTGCCAACCTTTCCCTCCCCTCTCCCCTATATCTCTTTTGGTTCTCTCAAAGGCCTCTCTGACCTGGCTGCACTCTTGCAACCAAGTCTTTCGCCTCTGCCGCAATCTGCAACCTATGGTTCATCCCCTCGATTGATAGACCCCACCCCTTCTTCTTCCTTTGGCTCTCTGCATCCCCATATCCCTCTGCCTTCCACTCTTTCTCCTCCTCTCCTTGCCCCTTTCAACTCACACCCTCTCTCACTCTGCTCCCGAGCTCCTCTCTCCGAGGATCCACCTTCCTCGTTTGGGGAAGCTTCTCCTCCGCCTCTGGTACTCAATCGTTCTCCAGATATGGACCCTCGGTCCTCGGGTAACCCAGCTCCAGCCCTAAAAGGTATTTTACGTGTACCCCTCAACCCTTACAGTGGGGACCCACTTATAATCTATGTTCCCCCAGGTTCTCCTCCCTCAGTGATCTCTTTCGATGGGGTCTCCAACCTTTGTGTCTCTTTCCCATCGCCTATTGCTCCCCCGCGCATTCCCCCGGGTTATACTCAGTTAAAGGAGATTCATCCTCCTCTTGCAATGATCCCAGCCCCACCCCGTCTCTTCTCTCGCTCCCATCACGTCTAGACTTCCTATGGTCCCTCTCTCTGAGCCTTCTCTCTTTTTGAGCCTCAAACCTTTCTCTATTTCTAACTTCTTTCACACTTCCTCTTCTTTGATCCTTCCCCCAGTTGTTGAAGAACCGGAAGATCCTTTGAGCTTCTATGACGACTCAGAAGACCACAACCCAAACCCTGAAAAAGACAAGCTCTTCGGCTCGACAGTGGCGATCTTCCACCCTACTCTAGAGGATGGCCTGGCTCCTATAGGCATCTAGAAAGCTTCTTCTTACTCACTGCCCACCCCTTCCCTCCTGAGGACGAGGAAAAGCTCACAGAACTATAGCTTCGGATCCTCGTAGGGCTCTTCTGAAGAATATCAATCCCCAATTTCGGTAACATCCTCTTTTATCGATCGAATGCACGAAGCACAACGAAAGATTCAATCTGTCATGCTGGTGATGGGATTCTCGCATACAGGCCCAGAGGGCCCTTTTCAAGAATTCTTCAAGGTGGACTTACAATTAAAATCTAAGGTAAGCTGAGAGGGAAGCTAGGAACTAGCTAATCTAGCCTCGGGTATCAATTGCGACCGACCTATCCTCTTCCTCTATCCTTCTCTAATCTTCCACTGGCGCTTTCTCCAAGTGGCTCAATGGTCCGGCATTCCCCAAGGAACTCCCCTCTCACTCTTGACCCTAAATGTTAATCTTATCTTTGAATATTCGAGGATTGAGACTGCCCTTCAAAAAGCAATCCGTAAGAGATCTTTATTTAAAACATCACCCCACCATTCTTGTCCTGACTGAAACTAAACTTCCCTCCCCAGCTCTCCAACAAGTTAAACAGGTAGAAGACCTTTTCAATGGGAGGCTCTCCCAGCTGTAGGGACCTCAGGAGGAATATGGGCAATTTGGGACCCTTCCGAACATTTTCTTTCCTCAGTCATAGCTTCCTATTTTGTCATTTTGTTCCTGTTCAAGGTTTATGATGGCCTCCAATGGAAATTCTTGAGCGTCTATGGCCCCAACCAAGATGCTCTTAGGCCTCAACTTTGGAACGAACTCAACTCTGTTGCACCTCTCCCCAATTCGAAATGGTGTATTGGGGGGGACTTCAACATTACTAGATGGTCTTTCGAGAAATTCATCCTCTAGAATTTCTCCTGCCATGAACCTGTTTTCTGGTTTCATCTTTGATAACCAGCTCCTTGACCTTCTAATCCAAGGAGCACAATTCACTTGGTCCAACCACGCCGTTTCTTGATTTCCTTAGACTAGGACGCTACCTTTGCTGGCTCTCACGTAGTAACCTTGCCTAAACCCACATCAGACCACTACCCCTTGCTCCTAAATACTGACCCATCATCCAGAGGCCCCAAACCTTTTAGATTCGAACTCTCCTGGCTCCAAGAAAGTTCTCTGGTCTCTCTTCTACCAGCTTGGTGGTCATCACTCTCGCAATCAATTTTCGGATGGGTTGGTTTCAGACTGCAACGAAAACTAAAACTTCTAAAAGTTCAGTTGAGGTCCTGGAGTAAGACCTTACCAGGGTCTTCCGCATCGCAAAAGAACGAAACCCTTGAGGAAATCAAACACTTAGATGCGGAGGACGAATCTAGAAGCCTTCTTCCATCTGAGTCTTAGCGGATAACTTTCCTTGAAAGTGCTCTACCAGTTAATTCTCAAGAAAGAGAGCTTTTGGGCACAAAGATCCTGGGTAAAATGGCTTAAGAAGGGTGATCTCAACACGGGATTCTTCAACAAGATGGCCAACTATAGGAAAAGGGATAATACCATCTCGCATCTCAAGGTAGGGGATAGATGCATAGACCAACCTATTGAAATCGAGGACACCATTATTGCTTAGCTCCCTTAGGACCGAGACCAGCGATGGGAGACATTCAATTCCATCTGCTCCCCCCTGAAAAAGTGGCCTGGTTAGAGAGACCTTCCTCAGAGGAAGAAATTATTGCCACCATCTCAAGCCTGGCAGCGGATAGAGCACCGGATCCGGACGGATTTCCCATAGCTCCTTTCAAAGAGTTCTAGGAATCCTTTTGGGGTGACTTCTTGGCTCTTTTCCCTGAATTTCATTCAAGAGAGGTCATTCACTGAGCAATGAATGCAACCTTTATAGCATTAGTTCCAAAGATTGAAGAAGCTGAATGCTTGAAGGATTTTCGTCCCATTAGCTTGGTCAATTCAACCTACAAGATCATAGCTAAGGTGCTAGCTTCTCGCCTTAAGGAAGTGCTGCATCACATGGTATCCCCCTCCCAAACTGCATTTGTCAAAGATCACCAAATTTTAGATGAGGCACTAGTTGCTCATGAATGCGTCCACTCACGATATATTGCCAACATCCTGGGTTTGATCGTAAAATTAGACTTGGAAAACGCATATGACCATGTGGACTGGGCCATTCTCGAAGAGACCCAATCGAGGATGGGGTTTGGAAGTAGATGGAGAGGCTGGATGAGAGCTTGCTATAGCCAACCCTACTTCTCAATCCTCATCAATGGGTCTCCTAAAGATTTTTTCCCCTCCTCTAGGGATTGACGTCAAGGGGATCCTCTATCCCTTTTTCTCTTCGCCATAGCTGCAGAAGTGTTTAGTCAATCTATCTTCAGGATCTTTGCTGCGGGCCTGATGAATGGGTTCGCATGTGACACCAATGGTCCAGTTGTCTCCCATCTCCAGTATGCGGATGACACTGTGGTAGGTATTTTGTAATGCCCTAACAGAGGAAGTTGACTATCAATTCTGGTTCCTAAGGTGCTTCAAATTTGCAACTGGATTTAAGGAGAACTTCAAGAAGACCAAAATGATAGGGATCTCAGTTACTCCTGAAGAGGTCAAAGCCCTCGCAAACCTATGGGGTTTTGAGGCAGAAGAACTGCTTTCCAAACACCTAGGCCTACCACTGTGCGTAGGTAAACCGAAAAAGAGGCTTTGGTCGAATATCCTCGATACAGTAGATCGAAAATTCACAGGTTGGAAAGGAAGATTCCTTTCACAAGCAGGCAGGCTTACTCTTATCAAAGCCACTGGAGCCAACATCTCGATCTATCATATGTCCCTATTCCGCATGCCTATGGTGGTAGTAGAGAGGATAGAAAAGCTTATTCGAAGATTCTTTTGGTCAGGGGATGCCACTACCCATAAGTTCCATCTTATTGCCTGGGATAAGCTAAGCCAACCGAAAAGATTGGGAGGACTGGGAATTCGAAACATTAGACAGCAGAATGTCGTCCTACTAGGCAAATGGTGGTGGCGACTCCTAACTCTAAGGGGACAGCTGTGGATAGACATTTTGAGGTTTAAATACCGAATTCCCTCTACCCCTTGGCTATTGGAGTTGAGATCCTACCCCAGGGCCTCGGGGGTATGAAAATCCATTACCTCTACCTTTTACATGTTCTCCAAAGGGATCAGGTTTCAACCTAGAGAGGGAAATAGAATTCGATTCTGGTCAGACTTGTGATTGGGGCAGCAAACTCTTAAAGACCAATTTCCAGAACTTTTCTCTCTGGCGCGACATCAAACGGCCTCTGTAGCAGACGAAATGAGAATGGAGGGGACCTCTAGAACTTGGAACCCTCACTTCAGGAGGAATCTTACAGACTTCGAAATAAACTTATTCTCAAACCTCGCAAACTCCCTGTCATCTTGTTTTCTAGTTCAACAGTCTCTTCCTTCTACACTTTCATTACTCAATCACCAACCTTTCCTCTTAACCCCTCCTCAATAGTGGCCCGAGCTTGGAACTCTTTTGTGCCTCCAAGATTACAACTGTTCATGTGGATCGCGCTATCCTCAAAAGTGCTCCCGATGGATCATCTACAAAGGAGAGGTTTCTCTCTTCCAAATCAATGCTCCCTGTGCGTTAATGACGAGGAGTCAAATTCTCACTTGTTCCTGTTGTGCCAGTTCGCTTTCGACATACGGGGGAGGATTCTTTCTCTCTTCAACATACAGTGGGTTTTACCCAAAGTGGTCCCTTCCCTACTTAGTGTTATTGAACCATTCCCATGGTCCAAGACAGGTATCCTGTCATGGAAAACGGCGATCGTAGCTATTGTCTGAGCTCTTTGGATAGAACGCAATAATAGGATCTTTCGTGGGGAATATGCAACACCTTCTGTGGTGTTCTCCAAACTCAAGTCACAGCTTGTCTTTGGACAACCAACCACAAAAACTTTCAAGGTGTCCCAACTTCAGCTTTCTACCAGAATTAGAAAGCCACTCTTCAGCATTCCATTAGAAGACCTCCTAGAGCTTCAAATTGGCACCCTCCTGCCGCAGGACTACTCAAGCTAAACTTCGATGGGTGTTCGCTAGGAAATCCCGGTCCCTCAGGAGTTGGAGCTGTTCTTAGAGACCACGCAGGCACCACAGTAGCTGTGACGTCCAAGTTTGTAGGCCACATGGACTCCATGGAGGCTGAAACTATAGCGCTATTAGAGGGTGTCAGAATTATTCAATCCTTCACTAATATGACCTTTTTAATAGAGGGAGATTCCAAGAATGTCATCTCTTGGGCCAATAACCCCTCTTCTATTCCATGGGTCCTAAATCACATCTTTGACAAAATCTTCCACCTCTGCAGGGGTTTGATCGTCATCTGGAAGCACACGTGGAGGGGAAGCAAACCACGTCGCAGACACCATGGCCAAAGCAGCGGCTCTCGGTGAAGGAACTTAAGTCGTTTCGGAATGGATTTCTTTTCATCGGTTTCGTTGTTTTAACGTAACCTTCAAAAAGAAGGCCTTTGTATTTCATTTTTCTCTACTCTCTCTCTCTCTCTCACCTTGTACATCTGCTATCTGTCAGATAGCTCTCTCTCTCTCTCCCCCCATTGTACTCTTTACTTAAAATATAAAAGTTAACACTTTCAAAAAACGAGGACATTCCTCCCTTTCATTAGTTTGAGGATATAAAGTATTGACCCAATTATTGAACAGTAGGAATTCTATTGGGAAGGGCAACAAGACTAACATCCAGTTGAAACGTGGCTGACTGAAACTCTTTTATGCCATAAATATCATGATGTGTTTGCTACAGCATGATATACTATTGCGAAAGTTCAGGAGAAGGTGGAGGGGACTAGCCACAAAATTACATGGTCAATCCACAGCAGTCAACGAAGAGTCTCAGATAGATTTCATTGGGAAATTCACTAACCTCATGGACCTGTTTCATCGGGAAATTCACTAATCTCATGGACCTGGTACAATGACTATATTACATCCCACAAAAAGAAGATGAACAAGTGTGGGGGCTTACTCGCCTGGGTGATTTCGTGGTTTAGCTCTTTGTATAGGCTCTTGCATGCAGATAGATATATATCCTTTGACGTTACTATTACCTTAGTATGGGGCTTTCCAGTACACCCCACAAAGTGCAGACATTCCCATGGTTAGCGGCGTGAACAAGCCTTCCCACAATGGAAAATTTAAGGAAAAGGGGGTTTACTATGTGTAAGTTGAATCGATATTCAGTATGTGCTGCTATTCCGAGATATAGTTTGATAATAATTTAGAGAAATTGCTGCCTCACCTTTCATGTTCATAAAAGGGTCGCTAGATGGGTTCCTCCCACACAAGGATGCCTTAAACTTAATTTTGATGGGGGCTCCCAAGGGAACCTTAGAGTGGCTGGCATGGGGTGTGTGATTGGAAATCACACAGGCAAAAATAGTAATCTCTTATGTGGTGTATAACAGCTAATGCGACTGGAGCGCAATCTCTCCACAAGGCTTAGACTGTTGAAGGCTATGGAGGGGGCAAAAATGTCCAAAGAGACTCGGAGAATGTGATCAGCTGTTGTACAAGCTCAGCGAACCTACCATGGCAATCAACATTTGAGTAGGGACAATATATCATTAACTCATTGCTATGGAGAGGCCAATGCAGAGGAGGATCATTTGGCCAAAGGAGGAATAGACCAACCAATGTAGGTAATTATATCGCTTACTTCTTTGTAATGTAATGTTCCTTTGTTTCCGTATAGCCTACAGAAAATTTATACGTGTACATATTCACAGATATTAATGCAATATATCCAAAAGAGAGAGAAGGAGAGGGAGAGGGACATACTGCTGCAAGCCGTTGCCTGTGCTGATCATTCACGGGCTACAGGTCATCTCCCAAAGCAAGAAACCAAAGGCAAGAAATCAGAGAGAAAGCTTTTTATTGCGAGGCAAAGAACGAGAAGAGGCCTGCATATAACACTAAGTCCCCTCATTAAGTAGACTAGTGTTCCCCTTGAGAACATTGCTACTACCTTGGGAGAAAACATTGTATAAGAAGAACCTTACCGGCTTCTTGTAGCTTTTAATCTCATCTATACCAAATCCAGGAAGTGTCATATTCCAGTTCCTTTCTGCAAGGACAAGAAAAAAGAAATAATACATCAAAGAAACAGTGTATCCAAGGTGCAAGCATTGATGTTCCTGCAGCATAACATCAATTCATGTATAGAAAGAGAAAGAGAGGACCCACGACTCACAAAAAATAACAATGCATAATAACACTATTCCCCCATAAGACCAGTTCCTCTATGGGCAGTATCCTTTGAATTTATTAATTCATTTATTTTTTGATAAGCTTATTGATTTATTTTTCTTAATGGTATTGGTATTAGCATTACATTGTCGTTGTTGCTCCTGCTGCTGCTGCTGTTGTTGTTCTCCTGCTAGTACTACCACTTTCGTTTTGGTAGGCCAGCTTGGTTTGAAAGAACGAGGTTCAAAACCATTGCAAACCGAGTGTCTCACCATTACACCGAAGGCATGTTGACTAATACAGTACTAGTATTAATCGTTTTCATGGCTTTCTTTCTATGAAGGGTATGTGTTGGAGGAGAGTGACTTACCCCATGCTCCCCACACCCACCAGCCCCCCTCCAACCACCACTAACCCCCTATTATGCCAAAGACGCCCACCTCCACCACCCACCGGCCACCACCTCCAAATCCTAAACCACCTCTCCAACACCCCTCCCAACAGCAAGTTCATCTGAATCTGAGGAGAGAAACCAGATCAATGGACAACCCATATTAACAAAACGATAAAGCATCCCCAAGTTCTTCTCAGAAATTGTTCAATCAGATTCCAACCTGTTTTTCTTCCCAATATGTTATACTCTACACTACAGATCAGAGATGGAAATTAGAGGAAACCATCAGAGTAATGAATGAATTCAAGAGTAGTTTGATAGGGTTTTTTGCTGAAGCTAGACCTCAATGGAGCTTCATGGTGCAGAAAATCACAAACGTATGGAAGCTTATACTTGATATTATCTCCAAAGGCAAGAAACACATTCTCCTCAAATTTGAAGAAGAAGAGGATGCATCAAGGCTTATAATCGCAGTCCCTGTTTCACAAGGGGAGTACATTTCCACCTAGAAACATGGAATGCCAGACAGCTGCCAGAAAAACCAAAGATCAAATCTATACCCATTTTGGTTTGACTGCCAAACCTACCATTCGTTGGTGGTCTCCTAAATCTCTCCAGCAAATTGCAGCTGCTATCACCAGGCCTATCTCAATGGACAACGCTACCAAGCACCACAAACAACTGAATTTTCTATTGTGTGCAACGAGGTTCTTTCTGGAAACCACATTGCCAAAGGAGATTGACACTGAACTTGGTGAAGGAGAGAAAATATGAGAGGATAAAATCCATCAGCACCTTTTGCTGGACAACAGGTTACACATCAGCTTAATTGCGCCAAATCAAAAAACCAATTGAAGAAGAGAGAGCCAATGGCTTGGCGGAAGATTGAAAATCAAGATGAGGCCAAAGAACTCCAGCATAGGAGTCACAATGGGCTGAATGACCTGGCCCAGTCCAGTCAGCCTGGCCCTTAAAAAATTGGGAATGGGCCAAAAAAGGTGGTCCGAGGGCCAGGCCAAGGATAAGCAAGCACGGCCCCAAGGTATGGCCAGGCTGGTTCGGCCCATACCTGATAAAGCCAAGGCTGGGCCTAGGCCAGGGCATCTTCGGCCCGGTCAGGAACTGGGCCAGGCCTATGGGACTAGGGCCAGTGCTGGCTCAGCCCGCTGCCAGCCCTACTCCAGCATCAACAGAAATGGAGAAGGAAGACAAAAGGCAGAAGTCTACCCATAAAAGTTAAGAGCTCAAAAGAAGTTCAATCAAAGGAAGGAAATCCTTTTTAAAACCATTAGGCATTTCTGGGCACGAGAAGAAGGGCCTGAAGCACAGCCGAAATAAAGTAAATTCCAAAAAGAAAGCAGAGGAGTCCGAACAATGTGAGGTGGTTCTGGAAATAACAAATGTAGAACTCTTCCCAGAACAAGAGACCAACAACTCAAACTTACAGGTGCTAAATTAAGAAAAGAAACAAAGGTTCAATCATGAGGAAGAAAAAGGTAAAAGCGGCATGATAAGCAACCACCTTTATGTCTATGAAAGAAAAGAAATCAATGAGCATATGGAAGGGGAACGAAGGAAGAATGAGACATGAAGCTATGCTCCACATAAATATCATAGAGATAGTCACCAACTCACCAAAAAGCAGCTTGAAGAGGCAAACAAATTCGTGAAGAAAACTAGTAAATCTCGCATAAAATAGTGGAACTTGTGCTACCGGAATTCTTGAAAGAGAAAAGGGGAAGGCGGCCAAGACAATTACCAGAAGGACACACAAACACACACAAGAAAGGTCTTTGCACAGAAATCCAACTTGAAAATGAAGAAACTTATCCAAAAGAAGAGCGCCAAGAACACCTGCAAATTAGAGATCCCAGGAACTCACCAGAATCCTATTCCGACAAATAGAAAACGGCTCATCAAAAGAAAAATGTTGAACCCTCACTAGCTCAGAACAAAAATCTTGAGTCTTTGTTGGATGGTTCAAACTTAGATCTAGATCAAAGATGTTTATTGGACAACCCATAGTTACCAAAATCTCTGGTTCCGAAACCCGATCCCGCATTTCTATTAAGGAATCTCCACAGAAACCGTTTTTTGGAACCAAAGAAACTCAATTCCTTAATTTCAGAATCTCGATTCGACACATCTTTAGAAACCATTTTTCAGAACCAAGGAAACTTGATTCCTTAGTTTCAAAATCTCGATTCAACACATCTTTAGAAACCATTTATCGTAACCAAGGAAACTAGATTTCTTAATTTCAAAATCTCGATCCAACACATCTTTAGAAACATGAACCCAATAATTGTGCGTAGACGTTTCCAAATATATCGAATCTAGATTCCAACGTGGATTAAATCTTGATTCCACGCCAATTGGAGTAGAAATCTTCCTTCGAATACTTCTAGTGGTTGCAGGGTTTCATTATTTTACTTATGCCACCCTAGGTGGCCTTTACTTTAAATTTAAAATATAACTGGTAAATACAACACATACAATTAAAAGTACAACCATGCGTAGACATAATCCTAAGTCAGTTTCACAATTTAGAAATACTTGTCTTTTGTATATAATGATCGTAAGTTCAATGGTCAACACAATCACTTTAAAATTTGGGAAATAATAAGAGACATCCAATATAGGTTCTAAAGTTGATGAGGCTTAAGATGTACTTGAGGCTTCCTTCTCCATAAAAATGAAATCTGGATTCCTAATGGGGGTCATCAACGGCATTCAATAGTCTGTATTATTATAAATCTCGATCTCATACCGGCATGGATCTCTGATCCATATAGTTCAGAAACTTGATTCCAAATATGTTAGAACCCCGATTCCAAACAGCAACATATCTCTGTTCCACATATGTTAGAAACTCGATTCCATAGATGTCGGAAACTCCTAGAGTCTCAATTCCAGGGGAATGGGAATCTCGATTCCAAGAAGGATAGGAATCTCGACTCTATATGTGGATGAAACTTGAATCTATTTCGGTCAAAACATGAATCTCAAAAACTAGTAATCTCATTCCTAGCGATTCCTATTGTACCAACAACGATTCCTAAGAATGGAATCTTCTAGCCAGCCGCAATTCTCGATCCAGTTCCTAAAACGATTCAGGTTCCGAGGCGATTCCAACAACTATGGGTCAACCAAGATCTAGATCATCCATTAACTGATTCTAACTTTGAACAAAATACAGAATCTGCCTCGTCGACATGTTCCAAAAAGCTAAAATATGAGAATTCCAACCAAACCCAAACATTCAAGTGGATTCTAAAGAAACAAGAGGGAAGCATTGGAACAGAATAGTAACGGAGCAATCACACATGGTCGTACACGTAGCATCAGAGAACAGGATGTCATATAGGAAGCATAACCTGTATACAGTTCAATGTAGCTCCAGAACTAGAAAGTGAATAAGTCACAAATGCATACTACTATAGAAATAGAGGTAGCACAGAAAAAACCAATGTTCCAAAAAACGACAAGCAGCGCCTAGGTGGCCGGGGGGGTCTAGGCCGCCCAGCACCTAGGTGGCCGCCTAGGTTAGTTCAAAAGGGAGCAAGACGTGTCTAGTAGTTCTATTTTAGGTGCAAGTTTTGTATAAAAAATACATATTCATGCATTTTTTATAATCCAAACAAAAAAATACCAAAAATAGCCCATCTGATCGATATTTTTGCTCCTAGGCGGGCGCAATACCCTAGTTTCCTGCCCAAATACCTACGCGCCCACCTAGGTGGGGTACTAGGCAGGTGCCCCGGCACAGCCCGCCTAGTTGGTCCGCCCATGTCTTGGGCAGTGCTGCCAGGTCCCCCAGCCCGCCTAAGCACTAGGCAAACCACTTTTTGAATCAATGGAAATAACCATAGTTACAAACAAGGTCAGATCACGGATCGGGATTGCGAACACGAGATCCAAAGATGCACAAAAATCGATGGGTGGATCGAGAACGATGCACTGTGAGTTAAAGGGATCATGATCCCAACAAGAAGAGAGCAAGATCCAAATTTGTCCACAATCGAATGATAGTATATGGGATCGAGGTCCATCCAGCTTAGAATCGAGGTTCCCCAAGTAGGGCATTCTAGCTCGGGTGCCAAGTCCATTGAACAATATGCTTAATATTTTTTCTGAATTCAAAAAGCAAACTATCAATAAATACAAAGAATCATGTTTTTAAAATATTGTTTCATTTTTTGTTATCATTGGAATATGTTTCATAAGTGAGAAGTGAAACTGAAAAGCTAAAACGACGACTCAAATTTCAGTCATCAGGCATGAAAGAAGCTCTAGTGGTTGATGGAAATGTGGTGTTTTCCCTTGTTTGGGTCCTTTCACTTGCATGTGATTGGGCATGCAATTGGTCACACTCTCTCTAGATTCAAAGGAAAAAAGAGGGTCTACAAGCAGAAAGGGTCAACCTCCAAATGTCGTTGTAATAATGGATATAGTCAACAAGAGGGTATAGGAGATAAAGATCTATTGTATAAAGCTTATAGAGCACCCAGTAAGTGAAATGGAAAGGATTTAGGTAGGACATGGTGCAACTTTAGTGGCTCACCTTAATCTATGGGTTCCATAACGTAATATGGCAGCAGCTTGTATGTTATGGTGTTTATTTTTCCAACTCACAAGTTCAAACTTCAAGCTCCAAACATTGGTTGCTTTTGTGGCCATTGGAACTGTTTCTCAACTGGTTGATCTCTATACCGAAACCCAATTCAGATTTCAAACTTTGTAGACAATTGTGCTCTTGCACTGAGAGAGAGAGAGAGAGAATTATGGCTATAGAGTTAGAGAAATGATGCGTGGGGAAGAGGGGAGTTGTCAGTGCATGAGACTCGAATGTGTTGGAGATCTTTGATACCAATGTAAAAGAAATCCAACTCCACATTGGTGGAGGCTCGATTCCAATTATTCATGGACCCGTGATTAGGAAGAGAGTGATCTAGATCCCATTAACCTCGTAACTCGATCCCCAATTTTACAGATCAAGATCCCTGTCGCATAACGCAGGATCAAGCTTCCGGAACTGGAGCGACCACCTTCTTGGGGTAACCATGGAAATAACACAGTATGCTTCAATATGGTACCAAAAGCAAAGGAGTCAAAGACAAACAAGAACATGTGCAGACAGGAAAGGATACCCTTTGCAGTGGTTTTAGCAGAATGCAGAGCAAAGAAAGCCCAGGGAAGCCTAAAAACAAATAAAATGCAAATCAATAGCACATGATAAAATCTCTTAAATTACAATATCAAGTTAGGGATCACGATATGATAACTTATACTCATATCTGGATTCTGGACTAACACAAAGGCACGTGTGTGCACACACATACATACACACACACACACACATAGTACAATCTACTACGGCTACTACAGTGAAACAATGACAATAATCAGTATCAATAAATTCAGAGTAAACCTATTGATAAACCACAAGGCAAACACAAATAAGACAGCCAATGATTCCAAGAACATTTACCTAAATGTAAAATTATATCCTTGGCTTCTAATTTAGTTGAGTTCCGATGCTTCGCCAGGGAACAAGCAGATGTGACAGTCTGTTTTGTCAAAAGAAATGTTAACAATTAGTATGATATACAGAGCCACTTCGTGTACACAGATGGTCATAAAATATGGCGACGTTTTAGCATACAGGTTACTTGTTTATCCTTTGACGTTGTGAATGGATGAATACTCTCACTTATATGCTGCCAACATAAAGTGCTGAATATGTCCCACTCTCTTTTAGGTACTCGCTCTGACTTTCTATCCAATTATCTCATAGATGACAGAAAATGTAGCCCAATATAAGAGGACAATTCTACATTGTAAAAATCGCAATGACTCTTTTTTCTCTATTGGCAAATAAAGATAAAGAAAGAAAAACTCAAAGAAATAAAAAATGAACTATTATATACTCAAAATCATAGAACATAGGGATAAATGAGATATGGTCAAAATTTATGCAGATTTTTCAAGATAAATTCATCTTTCATAGAGAAATGTGTAAACTGTACACATTAATTTTTCCCGAAAATTTGCAATTACTTACAACAAGCTCAATTAAAAATGTATTCTACCAACCAAATAGTAATCTAAATATTGAGAGATTGATCCTTCCCTATAATGAAAATTCTCAAGCCCTTCTATATCGATTGCTTGAACACTCCCATAATGACTTCTTATGGCAAAAGACTCCTCGATGGCATGAATAGAGGCAAAATTTTACTATATACAAGAGAAATTCTACATCTCCTAAATAAATCAATGTGCTCTACTGTTCAAGTCTATTGAGTTATTCTAAGAGGGTGTAGTTATTAAAACAACAACAACAAAACTAAGGGAAACAGAGTTTCACTGTTTGCTTTTAATTACTTTCATAGACAATAATAAACATAAAGTTGTAAATTCTCTCTAGCAAGCATAATGTTAGACCCCAAGCTAGTAATCTTTCCAGTAGCAAGTGAAAATGGCAAGAGAAAATGTCTAGACAACTAACTGTTATGCCCACTCGTGTACCGGAGGCAATGCCCAACAATTGGGATTAAAACATGGTGATCCAACATCCTATGTTGCGTGATGGTCTTGTATATTTATTTTTTACATAAATCAGATTTACATGAAATTTTAGGGTTCACCTAATTTCAATATAATGCATCTAAATAAAATACCCAAAAAAAAAAAATTGAAACCTAAAAAATGGCCAAACTGCCGATGGAAAAAAAGGCACTGGTAGTTTGATCTTTTGCACTTGTAAAAGTATTTTTTATATTTTATTTGGATGCGACTTGATAAATCTATCAATGGTCCAATTTTTTCTGGCAGACCGATTTCTAAAAAAAATTAAAAATTAAAGTCTACCATAAAATACAGGGTGTCCGATCGACGTAGATTCAATCTAGGCCATTGGGTGTTATAGAGGAAAGCTAGTGGACGTACCTTAGGGATTCCTATATATATATATATATATATATATATATATATATAGAACGAAGACACGACACTACTACGTACACACACACTACACTATACGACAACTAATAATTAGTAGTGTACGTAGTAAGGTAGTAAGTAAGGTAAAGTAAAAGTAA